GAGAGTGGATGGAGAAGAGGGAGTAATGAGGAGGGCAAATGTGTAAAATGGATGGGAAAAGTGAATAAATTTCTGATTTCCTGGCAGACGTTTATGTCCTTTTTTGTTTCATAACTGTCGTTAAATTGCTTAAACGCATTGTCAGACACGCTCTAATTAAATTATAAATAAATTTTAATGAAAACCTGATTTTTGAAATTTAAAACCCCAAACCTTAATTTTGAAATGGTGATACTTAAATACCTTATTTATGTATTGTTCCCATTAAGTGTTATTTTATATTTAAGTGACGGGAATTTTAATCTTAACAGTTTCCTCCTTGACAAAATATGGGCACTCACGTACTTGAAATTAGCACCAGAAAATTACAAAATTTGGCACTTTCCCTTTCCAAAAATTATGTTCCCACCTAATAGAGGAAAGTTTCCATATCCGCCTTCAAATTTTGCCCAAAAACTAAAAAGGGTTCTTTTCAGGAGTATTTTTTTTTTAAAAAAAATCTTAAATTAATTGTTGGGACATAACAAACAAGTGGGGAGTCAAATGTATGTATCCCAATGAAGTAGAAGTCTATCCCCTACCCCCCCACCCCCGCTCCTGCCGTCCAAGACCTTAAATATGAATACTATATTGAATCAACGTTTTAAAGAATAAGTTAGATCGATCGATTCAACCAGAAAAATCAAGAACTATAGAAAAAATAGGTATAATTATATAAAGAAAAAATCAAAACTTATCGATCGACTAATTCAACCGCGATCAACAAGTCCGACAACAATTTTTCAAATGAATATATGTATATCTGTCAAGCTATGATCTTAAAAAGAAATCAAATCTTCGTCCCGGCGACCATAAATGTGAACGCCACATGCAATTACACTACACACCAAAACCTCCAAGCCCACCCCATGCATTAATTTCAGATTCTCCTTTTCACACTTCAATTAAATATATATATAAAATAAAAATTCTTACCTTTCTACCCTTATATAAGTCCCTAGACTCAACCTCATTTTGTACCATCTTTTGCAAGTTTCTACTTTCTTTAGAGAAAAATACACTAAGAAAATGGAGATGGAGGCTGTATACATGTCTAGCAATGAGGAAAGAGGAATAGAGGGCGGCGTTAATGGCGGCGAGAAACAAGTAGTGGTGGTTGCTAACAAGAGAGCAAAGAAGTTTTCCGCCTTGGTTTTACGGTTTTTGGCTCTGGTACTTACGCTGGCTGCGGCCGTGCTTCTTGGCGTCAATAAGCAGTCCGCAGTGGTACCGGTAGTGCTGGTGCCAACACTGCCGCCGTTTAGTGTTGATGTCACGGCGAAGTGGCATTACTTGTCTGCCTTTGTGTGAGTATAATCTACTCCGTCCCTTTTAAAGCATGTTTTTGTTTAGGCGATAGTTAATTTCATTATAAGTACTGTTTTTCACTTTTTTTTAATAAAAAAAAATTTAAGTAAATATGCTTATAGAAACAAACTTACTTAGAGTAACTTATTTTTAAGTTAAGTTTTGTTTTCAGAAATTAATAAATACATTTGACAGTGTATATGTTTACCACGTATCTACGTGCATGGTAAGATCGATTATTTAAATTATGACACAACGGACTTATCACGTGTGGATAAATAACCGTTATGTTGAAGTTTTTCTCATTCAGTGAGAACTCTACCAATAATATTTTATATTTAAAAATAATTGCAAAATTATTAACGCATGTAACTCTATCACCAAGTACATTCATAAAACTGAAATTCATCTGACTATTAAATTATATGATTTGAAAATCTAATTCTATTTAGAATGATACCAAAATTTGCCTGCCTAATGCCCATTAAACTGGGTTGTCTGCGGGTGGGCCTGTCCACCCAAAGTTAGGTGGGCATGGGCCCAGGGCCACTTTAGAAATTAGAACTTTTTGTGAAATTTTAAATTAATATTTTCATAATTTTCTCATTGTGCAACCTCAGGGGACAAGATTTAAAGTTTAGCTAACACTAACTTTATTGTATTGTGATTTTTGGTTTAGGTACTTTGTCGTGGCAAATGCAATAGCATGTGCCTATGCATCCATCTCACTACTCCTCACTATGGCAAATAGGGCAGGAAAGAAAGGTTTTGAAATGATCATAACTATCTTTGACCTAGTAATGGTGGCGCTCCTCTTTTCCGGTGTCGGTGCCGCCTTCGCCGTTGGTCTTATTGGGTTTCAAGGGAATTCACATGTACAGTGGAAGAAAGTGTGTAATGTATTCGATAAATTCTGCGACCAAGCAGCCATTGCAGTTGGCATCTCCTTTGTTGGTTCAACGTTGTTTTTCTTGATGGTTTTGCTTGCGACTTTGAACCTTCACAAGAAACATTAATGAAAAATGAATTACTGTGTTAATGACTTCACCAATATGTAAAAATGTACCATGTTAATGGTTAAATTTATCGCGTATCAAATTCTTGTAATATAATTTTGTTTTCATTAAGTAAACCAAACTTGCTTATCTGGTGAAATTTAAACATTGGAGACTTCAATGAGTACGCATGAGAAATCACAATTTGGCACCAGATATGAGAATATCATGCACCAAGAATTTTCATTCTTCAAGCGAAGTTCTTGAAACCCTAGAGTGCTTATGATTTGATATTTTCAAGTTATTTTAGTTTTATAGAACAGCCAAAACTTATTTGATCTTGTATTTTTGAAAATACATTTTTGAAAACAACTTTGAATTTATTACATAAAATTCAAATATAATTTTAACCTTTACAGTGAAATCACCAAAAACGTATTTTAAATCAGCATTCCTCTGAAGCTCCATTCTCCCTGATTCTCCATCGCCTTTTTCAAATTGCTGGGATTTAAATAAAAACTCAAAAATAAAAATAAAAAACTAAGAAAAACTATAAAATTTAAATTTTTAATTTTTAAAAATAAATTTTGAAAAAATAAAAACTCAAATTCTAAAAGAATAAAACTCTTATTGGTTATTTAAATAATAAAATTTAAAAATTCAACTTAAATGAAAACATATAAAAATTCTCCGTTCGCAACATTAATTTTTTTTCCTATATTTTTTCAACTCAATTATTATTTGTTTGTATTTTACTTTTGTAGTAAGAAAAACATTATGAGATTCATCAATTTAAAAAGTATATATTGCTTAATAATATATTTTTATAAAATTTTTATATTTTACTGAATAATCAAATTAATGGAATAAAATGTCATATTCTCAAAATTCCAAACCAAACGTGATTTCAAATCAAAATTTCACTCCCAAAATTTGTTATTTTCCTCCAATTAAGCTCAAAATCGTCCAATTTGCTCCAATTACCTTCAAATTCGATTTTTACCTACAATGAAAATATTTACACTAACTTTTATACCCATCCTTATTAATCTTTGTACATATCCATCTTCACCGGCATCCCAAATTCGAGAGGTCTATTTATTCCTCCTTATCTTCCTAGAGTCGCTCAACATAAATTAGATTTCATGTAACATATTCCACAAAGCTTAAAGATATAGCTGTCATGATAATTGATAAATTCTAAATAGTTCAGATGTGTGCTTCTCCTTTTATGTGGTCTATGTGAATGTGTTGACCACAAGACAAGGAGAAAGCAAACTAGTCAAATATAAGACAATTTGGGCCTGTTTGATTCATCAACATTTTCCATGAAAAATGGAAAACAAATTCCATCTTCCACAAATGCTTTGTTTGATGCACAATATATTCTTGGCATTTGATTTTCTTGCTCGGTGCTCACAAGATGGGTTTCCTTGGCAATTGAGGAAAACCATTTCCCACTTTCTGGGTTTTTTTTTTTTTTTTTCCACTTTTTTTAAAAAAAAAAACTATTTTTTAAATTAAAAATAAAATTGCAATGGAAACAAATTCCATGAACAATTGTGAAATTTTTTTTGCCCTTTAATGAATAATTTTCATGAAAAACAAAGTCAAACGAATACCAAAAAATTCAAAATTTCAACATTTTCCAGTTGGAAAATTATACCCGTCAAACACAATTAATTAACAATTCCCCAGGAAAACAATTCTAAGCGATGCAATTCCCTGTAATACATTTTCTTTCCACTCAAATTTCACTCTTACAATCAAACGGACCCTTAGCAGTGAATAAAGTTCAATAGATGGATTCTTTTTCTACTATTTGTATATCATTGTTCACAGATTGATGTGTACAATGATAATATGGAAGAGAGAAAAAAATAAGAGGTTAATGCCCTAAGTACCGGGTTAATTTTCACATGGCCTTTACAGGCCACTCACTGCAGAGCCGAGCCCCACCTCTGCAATAAAAAAAACTGTGGCCCCACCCCCCTTGTATCTAACCTGGCAGGGGCCTGTAAATCAGGCCCCTATACTTGTAGCAGGGTCCAAAATAAGAAGTCACATCATCATTTTGTAAATTATGATATACAAATAGCATTAATCCTTTTTTTCCATTTAACCTTTTATTTTAATTTGTTGAAAATATTATTGAGTTGTAATATTTTAACGAGAAAAAAATTTGATTTTCTTCAAATTAAAATTATCTAAATTAAAACTCAGAAAAATAAGAAAAAGGATTGTTTTAGGTGCTCAGCAGAATGAGATTTACCCTGAATGGATTAGATATTCTCACCTTCCAATTAAAAAACACGTTTAATCTTTTTGTTTCAGTTGTATAAACATGTTTAGGTACGAGGAGTTCTACTGAACATAAATCCTTTGCGCTGCATGCTGGACACATTGAACCAATTTCATTCCAAGCTCATGATAGAACCCATTTGAACTGTTTGAACACAGAAAACTTACTCGACTGGTTCAGCTATAGTTCGACGACAAATCAATTTTTGTTTCTAATGTAAATAGTAAGGTTTATCATTTATTATTGTAATATCGTTTTAGCTACAGTTGCATCGACTATCGCCCCTCCAAACTAGAAATCCTGGCTTCACCGCCAATTGTTTTGTTATGAACCATGTTGATTTAGGATTTTTGTGTATAAAATAGCTCTGCAAATGAGCCTGAAATTCCCACACATTGAAAGAGCTATTCATAATCTTAGGCGAGAGAAATAACTAATTTGCAAAATATTTAATAAAAAAATAAATATATTTGTGGACAATGTTGACGTCAAGATTATAAGAACCAGGATGAAAGGAATGAACATTAATGAGTAAATAAATCAATTAGTAATTTCCATTAAAGAAAATGAAGATCTCCAAGCAGCCAAAAAACTGATTAAAATTGAGCCCGTGTTTTTGGAAATAGGCAAGTTTGATACTGTGGACTCGACAACACTAAACAAGACTATCACAAAAAAGTGAAGACTCAATCTATTATCTTATACAGTAATGTTCGAAAGTGTACAAAACCGTATACCAAACCATAAAAAAAAAAAAAAAAACCCATCTTTTATCAATAACATCGTAACAAGAAATTGAGTTCTTCCCTTGCATTAATGACAAGACAATGTACATGTATAGTGGACAATAATTCATTGTTCAATTAGCAGAATTTTTCTCCACATTTTTGGAGAAAGAATTGCCTTCAGAAAATTTTTCTAAGCCACAAATTCATTATAAACTGTAGTCCAATGGATGCCACTCACACAAAATCAGAGCAATACTTTAAAGAAGTCTCCAACAGTTTCTGTCGACATCAGTCTTTTAAGTCGGAAATTATGGAAACTGATAAAAATAAAAGGTGCCCTCTTGTTTCAGTTTCAAATCACGCATTGAATGAGTAAAAATGATGTTTACTGAGGAAGAACTGGAGGTGCAATTGTCCGAGTATTGTACGATTCACAATGGCTGCATTTCTGACCGATTACGTGGAAGTAGACCTCAGTCGTGTCATTGCAATCATTGCACAGAATCCAAACCTACGAAATTTAACCATATCAGATGAAGTTCAGTGCATTGTGATATGCTTGGTAAGTTAGATTAGACCGTAAAATAAAATTAAGAAGGTTAAAATATTGTATAGCATACTGCCAAGACCGATCCAAAACTGCAGGCTAAACATACACGTAGCAATTAAGAAGGGCTGCAAGGAAGTACCTTCTTATATCTGTACTCATTGGGCATGGCAGTTGCTTCTATCTGTAAACATGCAAGATTTTCAATACAAATTTAGTTTAATCGACCAAGCCAAAAGATAATGGGAGATATATAGCCTGGTATAGAAAACTTTGACGAAAAATGATGCGGACATCATCAAGATCGGGATTTATTTTTATTAACATCAATTTTTTCTTTGTGTGCTGAGAAACGTGGCATTGGATTAGAAGTGGCAAAAGATTTAGGGTCAAGGTACACAGATGAGGGTAGGAAAGGATAATCAGAGAGATTGAAATGGCTTTATAAGCACTAAATCTCAACATTGAAAACATAGGATCGAGTACATGTACATTTGGACACACATACTTTAAGATTTTAAAAAGACGAGCGCTACAAGCTTGCAATTTGGAGGTGGATCCATGGAGGCAACGCTTCTGTCGAATTCGAATCATAACATAACCCCCAATATTAAAAACATATCTTTTATTCAAATCAGCTCAAAGTTTATATGATGCGTTGCTAGCTTCAAGTTGTTTATTGATCTCAATAACAAATCATGAAAATGTTGTGCAAATGCTTCAGCTGACATAGATATTAAGGTCTAAAGACATCCAGGCTTAAAAACATGAACAACTTCAAATGGACTCATACCTAATGACTGATTCATGGAACTGTTATATGCAATTTGAGCTATAGGAAAAATGAAATCCCAATTTCTAAGGGTCCTTTTGATTGCAAATGTGGAAAATGAGTTGAAAAAAATGAATTCTAGGGAAATGAATTGTCTAGAAATTGTTTTACTGGAAATTGTAATTCATTGCGTTTGATTAGTATAATTTTCAACCTGAAAAATGTTGAAAGTTTGGTGTTCGTTTGGCTTTATTTTTCATAAAAATTGTCCATTAAAATGATAATTTCTTTTACCAATGGGTCTAGAATTTATTTCACTTGCCAAAAAAAATTATCATACCGAATACCATTCGTTTGGCTTTGTTTTGCATGGAAATTGTCAATAAAAGTGATAAAATTTTTTACCATTAGGTCTAGAATTTTTCCCAATTACAAATAAAAAAAAACCTGGAAATTGAAAACCCACCTAAAAAGTGGGAAAGCAATTTCAACAAAATCTAAGAAAATCTACACTTGTGAGAGAGTGAGAAAACAATTTCCTTGAAAAATTTCTACTATCAAACAAGGCAAAAGCTAGAAAATGGACAAAGAATTCCTAGTTCTAGGCAAAATTAAAGTTCTCAAACATGCCCTAAGATTTTCTTGGACCAGACACCTTTATAAATTACCAAG